TGGACTGGACATGATGGTACTTGTAATCCCAGTACTTGATAAACAGAAGCAGGTGGATCTCCATGAATTTGAGGACAGCTTGGTCTATGTAGTGAATTCCAGCCAGTCAGGACTTCATAGTCTTAGTAAAAAAAATAAAGAAGCCAGGAGATAGTGGCACATACCTTTAATCCCAGCACTCCGGAGTGGGAGGCAGACACATCTCTGTGAGTCTGAGGCCAGCCTGGTCTATAAAGCTACACAGAGAAACCCTGTCTCGAAAAAAGAAAGGAAGGAAGGAAGGAAGGAAGGAAGGAAGGAAGGAAGGAAGGAAGGAAAGGAAGGAAAGGAAGGAAAGGAAGAAAGAAAGAAAATAAGCATTAAGTATTGGGGCTGTATCTTAAGATTACTAATGCTATGATGAAACACCATGACTAAAAGCAAGATGGGGAGGAAAGAGTTTATTTGGCTTACACTTCTGTATCAATGAAGGAAATCAGGACAGGAACTCAAAAAGGGTAGAAACCTGGAGGCAGGAGCTGATGCAGAAGCCAAGGAAGGGCTGCTGATTACTGGATTTCTCTCCCATGGCTTGCTCAGCCTGCTTTCTTATAGAACCCAGGACCATACACCACCACACACAATAGGCTGAGCCCTTCCCTATAAATCACTAATTAAGAAATGCCTTACAACCAAATATTATGGAGGCATTTTCTCAGTTGAGGTTCCTTTCTTTCCAGTGACTCTAGCTTGTGCCAAGTTGACATAAAACTAGCCAGCACAAGCTGGAGGGATGGCTCAACCCTTGAGAGAGCTTGCTACTCTTTCAGAATACCTGACCATCCCCCAGCACTGAGGTTACAGGTACACATATAACCACCTTTGGCTTTTTAATGTGGATTCTGGGAGATTTGGACTCAGGTCCTTATACTTGGGAAGCAAGTACTCTTACCTGCTGAGCCATCTCTCCAGCCCCTTCAAACACACTTTGAAACACAATATGCTTAACTATGTTATAGAATATGTTTTATTCATATCTCACATGTTTCTGTTAAGAAAGCAGCAAGAAATTCTCTCCACATATAAAACTAAGCACTTGTAGTATGTCAATTCCTAGTTTGTTTTTAAAGGAAGTTATTTTGCCAATGTGGCACTATCAAAGCATCAGCACTCAGGGTCACGTCACTGTGTTGCGGTACCCAAAAGACTTCATTCTGCAAATGTTATATGGACCTTCTTAGTTCTGTTCTGTCTGAAGAAATATTGACCAGTTTTTTTATATTATGGACTACTGTATTTTTCATAAACAATTTTATGTAGAACCCAGTGAATGGGCTCACCCTCCAAACAAAAGGATCCATCCCAAGTGTCCAGTTTCATAAGCAAACCTTTCAGCTTAGATTCTCAGGTGCTGTCATAGCTCCATAGTAGGTAGGAAAAAACCCCAGCTAAACCAGAGCCAGGCAGTTCTGTTTAACCGTAAGCTACTTTGCATATTTTCACTAAATGACCACCTATAAGTCATGTTCAGTCACACTCAGCCCCAAATACAGCATCTTGAACTACAAAACAGGTAAGAGACGCTTCTCCATAGTGGCTGGCTCGGAGACTACAGAACAGGCACAGCTGATAAATGTTGCCATCAATTGGATGCTATTATCTTAAGCCAATGATAACACAAACAACCAAGGCCCAGAGAGGAATCTGATGAACTCAGGTTTTGGCATCTGGCAACAGTATTGCTGCTGACTCTGAGGAGGGAGGGAGGGAAGGAGAGTATCTTTTCCCCCAAGCTCTCACATTCTAAGATTCAATTGTATGTGCAATGGTGGCATTTTATTTTTTACATTATAAATTTTTATATTATGAAAGTTTGTGTTTTTATGCTCAGTGGAGCATCAAGAATCTCTCAGGATTTTATCATTAAGACTTCATTATTTATTTCCCAGAAGAGCTGTTCCTGAGATGTTCCCAAGGTAGGTGTGTTTGTCAGCCATGTGTGTATTTGGAAGCCTGGAATAGCAGCATAAATCCACCACTTTCTTTTGAGATGAACTTGTGCTCAATTCCCCCATACACTCATCCAAACCCCACTAGACTTTCTGTCTTTACCCTCTTCAGAGCTGCATTCTTTCGTCTTCCTAAATTCTATGTGTTAATTCTCTTGCATGAATAAAAAGTGACCACACTAAAAGCCCTGTTGTGAGGAAGGGCTTCTTGGAAATGCTTGATAGAAAAGCCTAGTCATCAATGTGTCTTCAGACATGCTATGCTCTAGGAATTATTCAAAATCTCATTAAAACCTAGAGTCTCAATTACCTGTATGGTATATACTCAGATTTCATCTGGATCAAGAGCTAAGATATTATTTAAATTATTCTTCAGGGTAAAACCATAACTCAAAAATTCTGCACAAGTGGCTTTGACATCTGCCTTACTTTTGAGAAACCTGTTCTGGTTTCATCTCAGTTGCTGTAATTAAAAACACTATGAACAAAAGCAACTTAGGGGAGAAAAGGGCTTATTTCAACTTACAGTTACCATCCATCATCCAGGGAAACCAGGGCACAGACCCAAGGAGCAAGAACTTGAAGCAGAGACCATGTAGGAACATTTGCTTACTGGTTCACTCCCAGGCTTGCTGGTTCATACTTAGCTTTCTTCTGCAGTCCAGGATCACCTGCCCAAGAAATGGTGCCACCCACAGTGGGGTGAACCCCCTACATCAATTAATAGTCAAGACAATACCACAGGGGCTGGAGAGGCCATTCAGCTATTATGAGCAATTGCTACTCTTGCAAAGGACCTGGGTTTGGTTCCCTGCAAAGATAACAGGGCACACACAACTGTCTGTAAGTCTAGTTCCAAAAGATCTGACACCCTCTTCTGGCCTCTGGATATCAGGCACACATAACATGTGGTGCACATATATACATGCAGGTACTCATAAAATACGAAAAACAAAATAGACACTATCCCAATACAGGTCCACAGGCCAACCAGATGTAGACAATTACTCTAGGCTATGTCAAGGTGACAGTCAAAACTAACTAGGACAGTGTATAGTTTCATTTAACTTGTCAGCTATAGGCAAAAGGGCCATTAGCAAAAATAGATGGTGCAGGCTGTATTCCCATTTGCCAGTTGTTTTGTTTTGATATAGGGCTTCATGAATCTCAGACTAGCCTAGGATGACCTTAAACTTCTGGTTTATTTGGTGCTGGGCTTTGAATCCAGGGCTGAGCTGCATGCCCTGCCCCCATTTGATGGGTATGTGGCTTTGTCATACCTGCCCTTTTCTCTTGGTCTCTAGAATTCCTGGCTTGGGAATTTCCTCACTAGTTTCTTCTCTCAGCAACTTTTTCTTTTTGACAGACTTTTGGCTCCTGTTTAATCTTCCTGAGATGTTTGTCTTATGTTAGTTATTGTGGGTCATTTGGTCAGTAATTTGGACTCTCCCACTTCCTGCTCCTCTGTTTTGTTTTTTAAGTTGACACAGCATCACTTACCCTCCTCCAGCCTCTTTAGTACACACTATTCCAGGCATTCACTCCTTTTCCAGCCAGTCCCACTGTAGCTGCTTACAACCCTTCCCCTTCTTCCCTTGTTCTCCAGCTCCCAGCCCCCCAGCCCCTGCAGCCATTTCTGATTCTAGTTTCTTATCTTTTCAGAGGCCATACCTAGGCCTTTACACAAAGACTGAAACACAGTAGAATCTGGTCTTCCTTCTATCACCCAGAAAAGATCTGTAGAGTTTCTGCTATGCTCAGGTGGAGAGGGTCCAGTGCCAAGTTAGGTTTGGTGGCATATGCCTATGATCCAGCCTCAGCCATTTAACAAATGTCAGGCCAGCAAATACACAGCGAGACCCAGTCTCAAAAATACAAGCAAATGGAGAGAGCGGCACCAGCATTATCTAGTCTTGCCTATAAACATTTAGTTTGCTTTTGCTTCGCCTCCTTTTTTGTTTGGAATGCTAAGTCTGTGACTCCTAAAGAGGCTGGAAAATTATTCCCTGAGAAGTTGCCCAAGAGCTGCCGATCTGCTGTCGGAGGCCCATGGTAGATCACCTGTGCTGCAATCATAGACATGCTCAGACCTCAGCAACTATGCTCTGAAGACACTGACGTTTGATTCTCCACTGTGGGGAAAATATAAACTAGGTTTTCTATGAGGTGCAGAGAAAGAGAGGCTCCATAAGTATCTATCTGTGAAGAAAAAGGAAACCAGCTAATTCTGGGACTGATGCATTGCTTGGACTTTTAAAATGCAAACCTTTTAACCACTGCAGGATAGATAATACCTCAAGGGGACAAGGAAGCAAAAGAGGCTCAGAGAGGTTTCAGGAACTTGCCTGAGGGCACAGAGCACAGGAAAAGTGAAATTAAGATTAAACCCCTAAAGGATTTACCGTGGAAATGCAAGTACTCTCCCCTGCCTCCTAGGTAACTGGGTCACAACAGTGTCCCTAGAATATCCACTGAGGCTCCTTTATACAGCCAAAGTCTAAAAAGTAACGGCTATCTAATGCATTTAAGCAATCATGTGCAAGGTGCTGGATTCAGTGCCCGGTATCATACACACACACACACACACACACACACACACACACACACACACACACACACACACACGGGGTGGGGGGCAAAGACAGAAAATGTAATAAAATTTTTGAAGACAGAAAGAGGAAAAGGGGGGAGTCTTCTCTCTCTCTCCCTTCTTCACCCTCCCTCCTTCTTTCCATTCCTCCCTCCCTCCCTTTCTTTCTTGTTAGTGGTGGTAATGTTTTGAGATGGTTTCACTATACAGCCCAGGCTGCCTTTGAACTCACAGCTATTTTCCTACTTCAGCCTGTGGCATGCTGGAATTACAAGTCGCAGCCCCCATCCAGCACCTCTACACAAGTGACTATAATTTCTGTATGAGCCCCCAAACCAAGCAGAAGTCTGTAAGGCATGAATCTCAAAGAAAGTAGATCAAACCTGTTCTTTTCTGAATTTGGCCAAACTGGTAAGCACACCTCTGTTTCTAGGTGAAAGAGGAAACGATGGACTCCAGAAGCTACTCCAGCCCTCCAGACAGGCTCTCCATCTTCTCTGAATCTGCCCACTTGCCACCGTCCAGGCCCTTCTACCTGGACCCCATGGTCACTGTCCACCTGTGCTCTGAGGCCCCCGCACCACCCCCTTATGCAGAGGAGCTGCCTCTGCTGCCCTTTTCCAGCGATACGCTGATCATGGACAATTATGGGGACCCGTACCCCTTCCCCTTCCCCATGCCTTATGTCAACTACAGGCGTTGTGACTATGCCTATGGGCCAGCCTTCATCCGCAAGAGGAATGAGCGTGAGAGGCAGCGAGTCAAGTGTGTAAACGAAGGCTATGCCCGGCTGCGGCGGCACCTGCCCGAGGACTACCTGGAGAAGCGACTCAGCAAAGTGGAGACACTCAGAGCTGCCATCAAGTACATCAGCTACCTGCAGTCTCTCCTGTACCCAGATGTGACTGAGGCCGAGAGGAACCCTCCAACCACCAGCTGCGGCCCCCTAGGCCCCTCTCTAAGGGTCATTTGAGTCTGCGTTTTCCAAAATGGGGTCTCCTACAGCATCACTCAGTAGATTCTCACACACGTGGTTTTGGGGAGGGGACAACAGCAGTCCCTCTGCCAACCTTCATTAAATGTTGCTTACGTGAGTTTCAGATGTACTGAAGTATCTCATGCTGACTGAGAATCTCATGCTGGCCTCACTGCTCTAAGAACACTGAGGGTGGAGTTCCCAGGGGTCTCTGCACCTCCCACCCCACCCTTCTTCCACTCTTGGCCAAAGGCTCTCTCCAATGTAAGGAGAGGTTGAAGTGTGACTGCTCAGTGATTGTCTCACACTTGGTAAATATTTGTTGACCCTATTTTCCTGTCACCTGTGTCAGGACCACCCTTAATTTTCATCCCAGATTCTGCTCTCAACCAGCTCTACCAAGTTGTTTCTTTTTCTTTCTGTGCATGATAGGTGTGTGTCTTGTAAGGCAATATGTGTACATGTGTGTGAAGTTCTTAAAATATCATTGCTCAAACTGATGGCTACTTTTGATTACTGCCTATGAATGTTCCCACTTTGTGGGTTTCTGCTTTAATTTGTTGCTCTTACTATGCAGCTCTGGCTGGATTCTGTCTAACTCACAGAGATCTACCTGCCTGTGCTTTCAGAGTCCTAGGATTAAGGGCATGGACCACCATGCCTGGCTCCACCTGGCTTTCAAAGCTTTGACATACATCCCCACAAGAGGGAAAATAGTCTTGCAAACACATCCTTCTCTCTTTCATTCTAACTTAGAATATTGCCCCTGATACCACTGAAATCCCACAGGCTCATTCAGTCATCTGGATGCCCCCTTCACTAGTCTTTTTTAGACTTGGAGTCAAGGCATGTGTCTGGGCCATAGTCAGTCTGATGACTGCAAAATTAGTTCTGTGAGAGCATTGTCACTAAAGGCACTTGGAGTTGCCACGGAAAACTTAACCCAAACTGTCACAACCAATAGAGAATGTATCTCCTCGCCTAACTGAAGGACTGAACACTCCAACAGCCCATCATTTTAAAATCCCTCTCCTCTCTCTCACTTTTTCCCTCCCTCCCTTCTATCCTCCCTCCCTTCCACCCTCCCTCCCTCCCTCAAGAACTATAGGGAGCTGGAGAGATGGCTAAGTGGTTAAGAGCATTGGCTGCTCTTGCAGAGGACCCAGGTTAGGTTTCCAGCATCGACATGGCAGCCCACAACTGTCTATAACTCCAGTTCTAGGTGATCCAAAACCCTCTTCTGGCCTCTGCAGGCACAAGGCATGTCCATAGTGCACAAAGATACAGGCAGGCAGAACACTCATACACATAAAATAAATATAAATGAACTTTTAAAAAGTCAGTACAGAATACACTGTGAGGGGGCAGTAGGCTACCTGAACTAGAGTGTCCAAGAGCCTAGGTCTATCTCTATGACTTTCTGAGGAAATAGCTACCAGAATTTTCTAGAATTAGATGCCTCCTTATTCCTGCACAAACAGTGTTGAGCTGCCATGTGTTGGGAATTGAACCCAGGTCCTTTGGATTAGCAGCCACTGCTCTTAATTGCTGAGCCATCTCTCCAGCCCCAAGGAATCTGGACTTGAATTCCTTTGGTCACCAGTCTGCAGCCCATATTTCTACAGTTTACATACTTCTACTCCTTTGGAGAGAGTTCCTTTTGTTACAAATACGCCCACACCTTTGTGTGTGTGTGTGTGTGTGTGTGTGTACACATGCATAGGCCTGTGGAGGCTAGAAGGTGTCTTCCTCTGCCAACCCCCCCCCTTTTTTTTGAGGCAGGATCTCTCACTGAACCCAGAGTTGGCCATTAAGCTCTTCCTTCCATGGTTGTAAACCCAGCCAAGTGGCTGCTGAAGATCCAAATACAGGCCTTAATACTTTATAGCAAGCAGTTTACCCACTAAGCTGTCTTTCTAGCCCTAACACTATTTTGTTTTAAACTATATGGAATGAAGAGTCCCAAGGCTACTCAGAAGCTTCCCAATCCATCCTCCTGCCTTCACTAGGTAGAGGCTGATAGACAGCCTTCACTCAGTCTTTGTCGAGCTCAGTACCCCCTCACCAGATTTCCCCAAGATTCTTAAGTGGCTCCCGCTGTAAGAAAGCAGCCCTTGAGATAAAAATTTTCCCTGATTTCCACACTTTACACTCAAATCTATGTCTCTCAATGCTTCAGGTCACCCTCTGCATATGCCCAGTACCCTTCCAAGTGCTGGTGTTACCTGCTGGATCATATCCATAGCAACCTGCCTGGGAACCAAGAGTTGTTGGGCCAAAGCCATGAATGCCAACTGTCAGATGGGGCTGAGACTGGGACAAGGCTGCTATCTGGGTTGGATTTGGGGTTTTAGGTAAGTCTCTTTGGAATCAGACCTGTGGCTTTGGGCCAGGGTTGACCCTAACAAGTCTTAGGTGGCTGCTAAGTCTACAAAGGGGCTGACCTGAGCTAGTCCTGTAGGTGACCAGGTTAGGAGGAGAGTCAGTGGCTTCTGGTGGGGGGTCAGGTGGTTAAAGCAGGGTGTGTAAAGAGAAAGGGCATGCTCCAGGGGTTCTAGCCACTGGGGAGGAGGAAGGAGGTAAAGTCCAATGGGAGCTGAGCTGCCAGGTGCTTCTTGTGGCTCATCTCTGCAGCGGTAACAAGCTGGGAGCATGCAGCTTTGAAGGAGGGTTAAAGTGGGTTTATTTTAGCTTCTACTTCCAGTTCTTTCAGCCCTCCCTGGTTCCTGAGAAACATTCTGAGATCTGTACTACAAAGGGGAAACCCTGGGAGTGTGTGGGCACACTGGGGAGTGTCCTCTGCCCGGCTCAGACTACAACTGTGATGCCTGTGTTTGCTCCAGGTGGGTGCTCTGAAGGCCATGCAGCCCTCTACCAGGCCTGGGCTATCTCTGCCCAAATACTGCAGTGTGGCCGCAAACCGGAAAGCCCCTGACCTAGATGCTGCTGCATTACCCTGGGACCTCTCCTTCACCTGTCCTTGTGCCAGGCAAGCACCCTGTCTGCCCATGAACTGCACACTCACCAGGTACCAGCTTCTGTCCTCTGTCCTTCCTTTCTCTGTTCCTGGTCCTAATGGCAATTGAAAGTCCTCAAATGCCTGGGATTTTCCATAATAGCATCTTCAGTCTATGAGATGGCAAAGGAACTTCAGCCTGTAGCAAGATTCAGGGACCAGTCTGTCTGTGACAGGGACACGCTAGCCCAGATGCTCAACTTAAAAATTCGTTTTTAAGTGTATGGGTGTTTTGTCTGCATAAGTCGGTGTACTACATTCATACAGTACCTGCAGATGCCAGAAGAGGGCAGCAGATCTGGAGTTACAGGTTCAGTAGGTCTCTACAGGAGCAACAGGTGCTCTCTCTGGTTCATTGCTCAGTTGTTTTGTTTTTTTGTTTTTTTGTTTGTGTTTTTGTTGTTGTTGTTGTTGTTTGGTTTTTAATTTTTCGAGACAGGGTTTCTCTGTATAGTTTTGGAGCCTGTCCTGGAACTCATTCTGTAGATCAGGCTGGTCTCAAACTCACAGAATCTACCTGCCTCTGCCTCCTGAGTGCTGGGATTAAGGTGTGTGCCACTACCCCATGGCTCAAGTTCTTAATTTATTTGTTTGGATCACCTTGTTCAAGGCCAGTGTAAGCTTTTTGTTGTTGTTTTTTTTTTTTTTTTTTTTTTTTTTTTTTTTGAGGCAGGATTTCTTTGTGTAACAGCTCTGACTGTCCTGGACTCACTCTGTAGACCAGGCTGGCTTCAGACTCACAGAGATCCACCTGCCTCTGCCTCCCAAGTGCTGGAATTAAAGGTGTGCACCACCACTGCCTGACTTCCTCCCCCCTCCAAGTTAAGCATCTTTATATTCAGGCTTTCCTACAAAACAGCTTTTTCTTCCTTCCTTCCTTCCTTCCTTCCTTTCTTTTTTTATTTTTTATTTATTTTTTTTTTGTTTGTTTGTTTTTTGAGACAGTGTGTTTCTCTGTGTAATAGCCCTGGCTGTCCTGGAACTCACTCTGTAGACCAGGCTGGCCTCAAACTCACAGAGATCTGCTTACCTCTGCCTCCTGAGTGCTGGGATCACAGGTGTGTGCTACCACCTTCCAGATCAAAACAGCTTTTTCAAAAGTCCAGACCCTCTTGGGCTGGAAAGATTAGTTGGCAGTTAGGAGTGCATACTCATTCTCACAGAAGACCTGAATTCAATTCCTAGCACCCACATCAGGAGGCTCACAAATGCCTGTAACTCCAGCTCCAGGGAATCTGAACACATATACTTCAAAAATAAAAATAAATATTTGAAGAAAAAAATAAAACAAAACTCTGTAGACTCGATTCCCCGATTCGGGCCAGAGAGTCCTCAGAATTGGCCTTGCTTCCCACTACTCCTTAGCCCCTTCATGAGCTGCCCTGCTGCCCCAGCCCATCCCCATCCCTCTGACCCCCGGAGCCAAGTGATTTAAGTTTGTTCCCTGTAATTTTGTTATATCATCCTAGAGTGCCACACCATCTTTTGAGCATTGATAAACACACGTATACAAGCAGATTTCATTTTGGTTGCTCTGAAACATGTGCAGTCCAAAAAATGCCCTCTGTGCCCTTCAATTCTGCTAACTCCAGAAGTTTAGCTGATCTTACAGGAAGTCGTAGGTTGTCATTCTCCCTGGATTTCTGTTGCCTACACCCTTGTCATCCTCATGCAGTGGGCCTCCTCAGATCAGACCCTGAGGCATGTATCTTACTGATTTTGTTTTATAGTTATGTATTTATCTAGGTGGGGGCACACACTATAGCTCACATGGGTCAGTCAGAGGACAACCAATCAATGGGAGTCAGTTTCTCCTTCCACAATGTGGCCTCTGGGGATTAAACTCAGATTGTCAGGCTTGATGGCAAGCACATTTACCCTCTGAGTCATTTCTATGGTCTATTGATGTTTTAGGGTTTTGTGCTCAGCCCTTGATTTAATTTGCTTTTCCCAGGTGTGCCTCTTGTCACCCATGTTCCCACACTGTGGATACACCATGGCAGGGGCTTAGCTGGCCAAGAAGAGTTGGAGATGCTGCTGGCCCCTGGGTCCTGGCCAGGAGAGAACCGGATGGCTTTTATTATGTGGCTCAGATAAAGACTGCCCCAGAGGTAAGTGCTTCTCGCCATCAGCTCTGCACACGCTCCTCTGAGTGGCATTTTGCACCTGACGTGTCTTAGCTGTGTACATTTGGAAGTTTGGCTTCTTGCCTAAGTTGTCTGGGCTGTGTGTGAAGTACTGCAAAATGAGCAGCTAAATAACAGAAACCTATAATTTGTATCCCATTCTTGAGGCATTTCAAGTTTGGTTCTTTCTAAGGGCTACAAGGAAGAGTCTGTTTCCTGCCTGTCTCGTATGTAGTTTCTAGTATTTGCTCAAAATCTTGGAGTTTCCTTAGCTTGAAGAAGCATGACCCCAATCTCTATCTTCTACTTAACATTGCTTTCTCTATTATCTATTCTAATTTCCTCTTTCCCAAATGTTTTAGTTATGTGTCCATGTGTCTCTGTGTATGTACAAATACATATGCCAGAAAAGGGGGTTGGATCTCCTAAAGCTGGGCCTACAGGGTGACTGTGGTTCAATGGGTGCTGGGATCCAAACAGTTCCTCTTCAAGAACAGCAAGTGTGCTTAACCATTGAGCAATCCCTTAGCCCCTCAAATTTCCTCTTTGTATAAAGACATCAGTCAGATTAAGGGCCTGGCATGCTCACTGTGGCCTCATCTTAGTTGGCAACATCCCAATTCCTAAAAAGAGATTGCATGTTGGGGACAAAGACTTGAATACATCAACCTGCAGAAAGGGGAACACAATTTACCCTTAACAGTGAGGAAAATGTACATTATTGTTCAGGAAGATTAGGTGTTTTGAATCATGGGCATGGGCCTGAGAGAAAAAGGAACAGTGATATACTTCTCACATGCAAGCATTCTTGCTCTTCTACACAAAATCTTGTTACTGAAATGCCAGGAGCCAGGCTTGGGCTCTACTTCAGTGAAGTTACTTGGATATCACTCTCTCTTTCTCTCTCTTGAGATAGGGTTTCTTTCTGTAGCCCTGGCTGTCCTAGAACCTACTTTGTAGACCAGGCTGGCTGAAAACTCACAGAGATCCACCTGCCTCTGCCTCCCAGGTGCTGGAATTGAAGGCATGTGTACTTTTAATTGCTAGAATGTAGCACATGAATAGCTTATCACATTTAATAAAAGGACAAATTATGAAATACTGAAAAGTGAAATCCTAAAGCCACCCAGCTTGAACTGGACTAGAAACTACTCTTCCTTGTAGCCCCTAGAAAGAACCAAACTTGAAATACCTCAAGAATGGAAAACAAATTATAGGTTTCTGTTATTTAAGCTGCTCATTTTGCAGTCCTGAAATTTACTTTGCAGACCAGGCTGGTCTTGAGCTCACAGAGATCCATCTGCCTCTGCCTCCCTAGTAAAGGCATACACCACCATTACCTAGCTTGGACTTCTCTTTTTAAAATTAATTTTAATTTTATGTGTGAGTTTGTCTGTGTGTATATAAGTGTACCATGTGCATGTAATGCCAACAGAGGCCAGAGTAGATTTTGGATTCCTCCAGAACTGGAATTGTGAGCCGCACTGTGAGAGCTGGGAACCAAATTTGGGTTCTCTGCAAGAGCAATAAGTAAGTGGTCTTTGTCATTGAGCCACCTTTTGAGTCCCAACTTTTAGGTGTTGACATAGGACCTCATAGATCCCAGGATGCCTTGAACTTTGAACTTCTGACCCTCTTGCCTCCCTCCATCTCTCAGGTGCTGTGGTTATATGTTGCACTACCATGCTTGGCTTGTGCAGTGCTGGGGATTGAGCCCAGGTCTTCTATATATAGGGTACACACTCTACCAACTGCCTACACCCCCAGCTCCAGCACTGTTCTTAGAGTCAGACTTTGTGAATGTGGTTCTGTGCATGCATATGTGCTCACGTGTGGACATATGCCACAGCAAGTGGGTCATAAGACAACTGGGGGAGTCAGTCTTCTGTCATATGGGTCCTGGGAATCAACTCAGGTAGTCAGGTTTGGCTGCAAGCACTTTCCAAACTGCACCATCTTGCTTGCCCTACCTTTTTGGTTTCTTCGGACAGGGTCTCAGACTGTAGCCTCAGCTGCCCTGGCACTTGGTATGTACCTCAGCATGGCTTGGAACTCCGTATAAAGCCCAGGCTAACTCTAAACTCAAGAGCAATTCTCTTGCCGCAGCCTCTTGTGCTGAAATTATGGGTAGGCATCACCACTCTCTGTTCTCGGTTCATTTCAAATCTTTTTCTTTTTTTAAGATTTATGTGTACGAGCACTTTGTTTGTGTGGTTTGAATGAGAATGGTCCCCTTAGGCGCATATATTTGAATGCTTGGTCTCTAGTTGATGGAACTGTTTGGGGAGGATTAGAAGGTATGGCCTTGTTAGAGGAGGTGTGTCACGGGGTGGGGGGTGGGGGGTTGAGGTTTCAAAAGCCTGTGCCATTCTTAGCTCTCTCTGCCTTGTACTTTTGACCTGAGATGTGAGCTCTGAGTCTCTGCTCCAGCACCGTCCCTGCCTGCTTGCTGCTATGTTCCCCACCATGATAGCCATGAACCCTAACCCTCTGAGACTATAAGCTCAGTAAACACTTCCTCTTCTAAGCTGCCTTGGTCATGGTGTTTTAGCAAAGCATTAGGACAGTAACTAAGACAGCCTGTATCTATGTATGCACATCATATATGTATGCCTGGTGGCCACAGAGGCCGAAGAAGGTGTCACATCCACTGGAACTGGAATTATGGATAGTGGTAAGCCTCCATGTGAATACTGGGAGCCAAACCATGGTCCTCAGCAAAGGGCAGCCAGGACTCTTGACTACTGAACCATCTCCCTAGCCCCTTACTCTATTTTCTTTCCCATAGCTGGAGAGGCAGGGGGCCCTGGTTGTGGAATTTGAAGCTCCCCTTGTCACAGGCCTAAAGCTGCCAGCCCAGCAACGGAGAGTGGTATTTCCAGAAGATGTCATTCAGTTCTCACCATCTGTGCCACACTCACTAAAAACCGGTGACAAGGTGCTGGCACCTTGGGAACCAGAGCAACAACAGTATGGCCCTGGCACTGTTCTCTTGGGCTTGAAGAAACAAAAAGGCCAAAGAGGTGAGGAAGCTACTGTGTCCCTGTGTCCCCCAGAGGAGCACTGCTGGCACTCATGGCTCAGCTGTCTTAGAGCCACAGCAAACAGAACCCTTACACCTCACCGGTGGCCTTACTCTGCAGTGGCAGCAGATCCGTAGTCCTGTCTTCCAGGATATGTTATGTTTAGGATTGTGGAGGACAGAAGCTGGCAGGGTGGCTTGTGTCTGCAATGTTAGCACTTAGGAAGCTGAGCCAGGAGGACTGCTGTAAGTTTGAAGGCGGACTAGGCTATAGAGTAAGAGTGTCTCAAAAAACCAAAAAGTGGGGGCTGGGGAAATGGCTCAGTAGTTAATAGCTCTTGCTGTCTGGGCAAAGGACCCAGGGTCTTCTCTAACTCCAATTCCAGGGCTCCCAATAACCCTCTTCTGGCCTTCCTGAGCACCATGCTATGAATATGGCACACATTCATATATCTAGGCAAAGCACTTATACACATAGAATAAAAATTAATAAAAATATTTAGAAAGCAAAACAAAACCAACCAACCAAAAAAAAAAAAAAAAAAACCCAAACCCCAAAAGCATAAAATAAGATAAAGAGAAACAACCTAGAACTACCACGTCCATGTTGATTCCCTAAGCCATCACATGAGCTAGGCGTGTATCATGTGTGTATAATTCTAGCACTCAGTGGGCTGAAGCAGGGGGATCATGAATCTGAAGGCAGCTTGAGTTACATGAAACCTATCTCAAAAACACAAACCAACAAACCCAACAGAAGCATCATTATGTGTGGTGGCGGAAGGGGAAGTAGTCTAGTCACAGGGACTCACCTCCTATCACTCACAAGTCCTCTGGAGACTGACAATCTTCTCATACCAACCAATCAGCACTTGGAGGATGTGCTTGGAGGATGAGAAAAGCCTATGCTGAGGCTGCATTTTGGTTCTACATGAAAACCAGGTTCCTCCAGGTCATCTTTAGCCTAGGAGGCAGGGAGGTACCAGTAAACCCTCCAGAACTGGTTGGTGGCTGGTGTGGCTCTCTGGTCACAGTGACACAGGAAGAGCCAGGAAGAGCTGAGGCTGAGGCTGAGGCTTTGGAGACAGGGAGACCTTTATTCCAAAGAACCAGGGCTGTAAAAAGTGTCTCCCATTTCTGTTCATAGCATCTAAAGAAGAAGAAATTACTGTTCACTTCTGGAATGGCAAGACAATTCAGGTTCCTGTAGACAAGGTCAGGTGGGTGCCTCCCACTGTCTGGAAGAAGGCTGTGGAGAGACTACAAACATCTCACACCAGGAACTACCACAGTGCCTTTATTGGGGTACCTCACTGCTCTGCTCTGGGACCTCAGACTGGATGTGTCAGACACAGGCCCTCTCTGAACTCTTCCTTCTTATGCTCTCCTGGCCTGTCCTGTGCCCGCTGCCAGTTTCTGTATCAGAGCTGTTTCTGTGGCTGCCCTTTGGTGGGGCCTAGCTGGTGGTCTCTAACTAGGACCTCAGAGGTCACAAGCAGAAAACTCCCAGAGCCAGAGCTGAAGCCCACAGCTCAGCTTCTGCCCCTACAAGGTCCTACAGAGCAGGCAATAGCAGCATTCAGCTACAATATGTCCTCCTCCTCTGAGGAAGAGAATTCAGAGAGTCATCTGGAGATGGGACTTCCCCAGAGACAGATGGTAAGCAGGGCAGTCAACACTGACCCCACCTTTTCTGAGAAGCCTCTGCAGCAGGGCCAACCCTGTCAGCCTGAGTGGAGGTACTGGAGGCGAAATGGGCCTGAGCCGCCCCCTGGAAAACCAGGTATGTTATACCAGGGGTATGACACCAGCTTCTCAGGCAGGGGCTAGGGGCTGCATGGGTCTTTTGGGAATCTGGTACACTCTGGTGGGCTTGAAAGTAATGTATGGAATGCAGGCTGTGGGGGAGACTGTCAGATGAGGGAAGTGGTAGCCCCCATGTGAACAGGAGAAGCCAGATGGCTTGATCTTTGTGCTCTTAACACCCTTCTCTTCTTTGAGACAGGGTCTTATGTAGCCAAAGATGACCTTGAACTCCTCATCCTCTCACCTCTACCTCCTGAGGGCTGGGATTACAGGCATGGACTACCATGCCAGGTTTATGTGGTGCTGGGTAGAACCCAGGCCATCATGCATGCCGGCAAGTGTACGCTACCAAGATCCCTAGCCATATCTTTCTTCTGTCTCCACTCATCAGCTAACAAAGCACTGTCTCCAAGTGTTGATGAGAGTCAAGACCTGACAAGTACAGAGACTGGACCTTAAATGTTAGTGATTAGGCTGTAGTGACCACATGGGCCCCTCAGTAAGTCTGGGAGGAGGAACACTGCCTTTTGCTGCTCATTTTACAACTAAGAGATACTGTGGCTACCCCTAGCTTCATCTTGCACTAAGGACTATGGAGCACATCTTGGTAGGTTGGTGGAGATGCATGTTATTTTCTATCCCACACCCATACCACCTAAATTCCTATCAGATTGCAGAAAGAGCAGAAGTCTAGGTGAGGTGGCAGAGTTGCATGCGGCAGGTGGCCTGGAAAAGCAAGGACTGGTTTTGACTTTGGAGGCCTGTTGTCACTAATTTTATGTTCACTGAGGAGGGATCTGTGGCAGGCATATTATAATCTGATTGTTAAGAACACCAGTGCTAAGGGCTTAAGGGCCACTAGGCACTGTGCAAACTAAGCCCCATTGGCCTGTTCCTAGAACAGCTGCTTATCCACAATAGACTACTCAGCCTGTGAGAAGTTCACTGTCAGCACAGGGATACGTCTTCAGTTCCAGGAAGTTGAGATCTTTTCTCTGCTTTCTTGGGTGACTCCTCTAGACCTCAGGGTTGGGCACAAGTCAGGGCAGGTCTAAGTCTACTTAGATTTGTTTTTTTTTTTTTTTTTTAAACTAAATGTGTATAGGTGTTTTGCCTGCATGTATGTGTGTGTATCACATGCATGTAGTGCCCTCAGAATCCAGAAAGGGTGTCAGATTCCTCTGGGAGTGGAGTTATGAGCCACCACGTGGGTGCTGGAAATGAACCTGCATCCTCTGTAACAGCAGTCAGTGCTCTTAACCTTTGAGCCATCTCTCTAGACCCCTGCAGTTGTATTGTACAAGAGGGTTTCAGGAATTTCTCTGGCATCCGAGGTTGGGGATATTTTCTTCACCCCTGGCAGAGAAATAATGAGAAAGACAAAAATCCGTCTCCGGTCAACTGAGGGGAAAGGTCTGTAACTCCTGCTAAGATGGTTCTCCAGGTCTCGCTATGGCAAGTCTTGGCAGCAACTGCTTGCAAACAGCTGTTTCTGGAATCATCCTCCCAACAAGTGACAGTATAAAGACAGTGGCCCCCAAATCTAATATCCACACTGATTGTTGACTTCTGCTACCTCCTGCCTGGCACAGCCTAGAGAAAGGAAGGAGGAACAACTGGGTTTAATCAGAGGATCCATGGTGATCAGACAGCCCAGGTTTTTGTGCTGGTTTTCATTGTTGTGATTTGATATCTCTACAGTGCATAGAAACCAGTCAAGGGCAAACAGACTCTTTCCCATCCTATGCCTCCTCTTACCTAAAGCTGCTTAGATCCATGTTTAGCCTCTTTCCCAATCATTGTATTCAAATAGATGCAAATCAGTTTTTCCTGTCAAAAATAATTCTGGGGCTGGAGAGACAGCTCAGTGGTTAAGAGTGCTTACTGCTCACCAGGGAGTGGTGGCGCCTGCCTTTAGTCCCAGCACTTGGGAGGAAGAGATCTCTGAGTTCAAGGCCAGCTTGGTCTACAGAGCGAGTTCCAGGACAGCAAGGGCTACAAAGAAACCCTGTGCTTATTACTCTTCCTGAGAACCAGAGTTCAGTGCTCAGCATGAATATCAGGCAGATCACAACCACCTGCTAACTCCAGCTCCAGGGGCTCTGACACCCTGTTCCGGCTTCTACAGGCACTCACATCATGGCACATATATACATAATAAATAAAAATGGACCTTTTTAATTTTTTTTTTTAGACAGGGTTTCTCTGTGTAGCCCTGGCTGTCCTGGAACTCACTCTGTAGTGATCAGCCTGCCTTTGCCTCCCAAGTGCTGGGATTAAAGGTATGTGTCACTATTTCCAGGTTAAAAATGAATTTCCAAAAAAATAAAATAGTTCTAATAATTAATTATATAGAAGTGTATCTTTTGGTCCTAGGTGTTTTGCTGCAGTCCAGGAAAAGATTTAAATTTTTGAAGCTGGCCCATGGACCAACATCAGGAATATTCTATATCTATACAGAGAATGCCCCACCCAGCTATTTCTTCCTCTGTAGATCTATTCCTTAGAAGTCCCATCCTCTGCTGTTCTTATTGTCTTAGAAGTTTTGGCAGGGTCTGACTATGTAACCCAGACTAGCCTAGTTCTAGGATTATAGATGGGAGCCACCATGCAGATGCCATGCTGCCTGCCATAGTCAAGTGGCAAAGATGAGACGTGCACAAAGCATGTGCGAGCCAGGGCTAGACACAACAGCAGGTGGCAGAGCTTTTCCCTTCCAGTTTTGTATCCTTATAAGGAAATGTACTGCTTGGCTTCTAAATAGGATTGGTTATTTATCTGATAATAAGTACCAACACTCCATCAGACAGTACTTGATCTTACTGTGTCAAGTTCCAAAGCTTGATAATCAGTATTCAGCTCTATGTGTTGTGATCCTCTGGTATGTGGGTTCTCTGCCTTCCAAATATTGCCTTATATGTTCCCTTACAAGGATGTAAGGCTAGAAAGAAAAGAGTAGCTGTTACCTGCCATTGACTCTAGCACCAGTCCCACTAACTGATCTTGGGTTTAGGAACAAGACGTTGCCACAATAAGAGAAAAGACAAGGACAATCAACAGGACAAAGTGTGAATTGCAGTTGTGGGGATTACACACGTCAGTCACCACAAGTCACCAACATGAAACCACGACAGACTCAACCAGAAGCTAAACACAGACAATGATGTCCGGGCATTGGGACGACCAGAGGAAGTAGCTTTTCCTGGGGTCATATTCTGTTCGAGGATGGTAAAACTATGGCTCCTTTCCAGAAAACCACACATACCCACTGTTTTGCATGTCAGAATGTTTAGAGGACTCAGAGTTATCCCAGCCTTCTGGGAGTACATGCAAGGATCCCTATAAAATGCTTCCAGCACCTAAGTCAGGCAGCTCACAGCCCTCCAGAGACCAAATCCCCTCTTCGAAGGTGTCTATACTCCAGGTGCACAAGTCCACACATGTACACATAATTTTAAAAACTGGGGTTGGAGTGGACATGGTCAGGAGCGTTTGTTGCTCTTGCAGGCAGAGGTTTGCTTCTGGCACTCATACGGCAGCTAACAACCATCTTCTGGCCCCTGTGGGTACAAGGCACACACATGGTATTCATGCAAAATACTCATCCCCCAAAATAATCTTAAAGGGCAAACTAGGTATTGTGGTTCATGCCTATAAATCCCAAGATTTGGGATGTTGAGGCAGGAGGATTGCTCTAAGAGTGAGGTCAGCCTAGGTGACAGGCTCTAAAACTACACAGAGAAACCCTGTCTTGAAAAACCAAAAACCAAAACAGAAAACATCAAAAACCAATCTTTAAAATTATAGTAGGCACATAAGGTTTTTCTCTTAGAGGAAGTTAAGGATAATGAGGTAAATACTTGAAAAAGGGTTAAAAAGAGTGGCTGATCAAGCCTTAATCGAAGGAGGTTGAGCACAGGTTGTAGGTGAGTGTCTAACAGCACTGCTCCCCTAAGACCTCCTGCAGGTAAGCAGCATTTGGAAGACACCTGTTGTGAGGGGCACAGGAGCTGGTGGTCCTGCACTGGAACTCCCTGCCAGGGGCCTGATGAACACCTGTTCACAAAAGGGACAGGGTATGCCCACTGCTGTCTTCTCATCAAATCAATGGTTGTACATGGGGAACACTGTTTCCTTCTTTTTAATATCAATAAAATGAATTCTTTTTATTTCCAAATCTCTTCCTTTATTATCATAATTAACAATGCTTGGGAAGCCAGCAGTAAGACCTGTTCAGACAGCATCATTCCATTATTGTTTTCAGGAACACAGGATGGGGGACTTCTATAATCTCAAGTTAAAATGAGCTCTTAAAGAGACAAACTCCAGTTCATAAGGGCTGCCCCCCCCAGGTTTAAAAGTAGGATTGACATATCATTATTAAGGCAATTATAATGTAGCTTTATTCTTCTTGTTACTTAAAGAGTGAAATAATGGCAGCAATGGTCAGCTTCATACGGGGAAGACCAAGTCCACGCTTTGCCCTGAGTCAACTGCGACCACATGAGTCTTCTTGGTTAAGGGGCTTGAGCCCACCGTGACAGAATAGGTCCCTGGATACACTTCTATGTAGAGGTCCTTAGAGATGTTCTCAGGCTGGAAGGAAAAGAGACCAGGTGGTTTCAAGATTGATCTCAGAGCCATTTCAGCATCTCTACCAGGTTGCCTTTTTGTGCCTGAGGTGGGGAGGAAGTACAGATATGGGGCCCTGCCTTCAAGGCTCAGCTGGGTCACAAGATGGCACTGTTGGTTTGGTGACTCTCAGCCTTAATGCTTGTCGCATTCTTCTAAATCTGTGAGAACACCTACCCCACAAGCAAGCGTGTAAAAACTCTGTAAATGAGAAAGTGTTATAGGAACATGACGAATTATAAAAAGAGCACCCAACAAGTGTGGTTGCTCACATGCTTACTCCTAGCACTCTGGAGGGAGAGTCAGGCAGAGCTCTGTGAGTTTGAGGCCAGCCTGGGTCTACACAGAGGGTTTCAGGACAGCCAGGGCTTAGAAAAAGAAAGACCCCAATTTAAATCCCTTCCCCCAACACACACACGCACACACACAAGGAAAACCCTAGTAGGAGTTAGGCAGAGGGAAAGGCTGCTTGGGAATCAGAAGTAGAAAATGGTATTAATGAACTTATGACTGGCAAGGTTTGTTGGGATAGTATGAATGACTCTTTAATCATGCAGAGTTGTTATTTCTTATACCACACATGGCAGACTAAAGAAACTACTGGCCAGAAAATTCTATTGCAGAAATAAGTGATATTTGTACTTTCATGAAATTTCATCCCACTTTGCCTTGCTGACAGACTTGGGGGTCAACATTTGCAAAAGTTACTTTATATTATCTTTCTTACGCTTCTGAAAAACTTAAGGTCCAACAGCCTTCAACTGACATGAGGTAGCAATGACACTGCTGTTTACCAGAGGTCAACTTGTAATACACAGGGGCCTTGGAACCACAGCAAAGGATATGATCCATTCATCCCCATGGCAGTGTTGAGGTTAGTGTGTATTTTGTGAGGAGCTGTAGAGAGATGGTTCAGCAGTTACAAGCACTGGCTTGTTTCTCTTGTGGAGGACGCAGATTTGGATCCCAGAATCCAGGCAATGACGATGGCTTGCACAACCCTGTAAATCCAGTTCTAGGGAACCTGAAACCCTCTGCTAGCCTCTGAGGGTACCAGGCATGCATGTGATATACATACATACATGCAAGTACACACGTGTACACCTAAAATAAATCTTAAAAAAAAATATCCATCTTCACACTGGGACTCCAGGCCAGTCAGAATTACCAAAAGTAGCACTAATGAAGACACCCACAGCCAACAGCTTGCATTTGTACTAGAAGGAATATTTTTTAGTTGCTAATAACTCTAGAATATCCAAATCCTGGTTAGTAACAAACTATACACAAACAAAAAGGGATTTATTGCATCGACATGACTAAGTTCCTTCCTCAGAATTCTAGCTCTTCCAAGTCTCAAACAAACTCCCTAGGCTCATAGACTACTTACTCCTTGGTCCTATCTATTTCTTTTATTTTTCTTTTCCCACAGAAACATTTCAAATGTTTTGGAACCCATGTACACATTCTGGAATTTCAGCAATAGCTTCATTTTACAAGCAGAGGGTCAGGCCCTCCTGCTGCTTCAACAGATGGTGGAATTCTAGCAGGAGTCAATGCCAGCCCAGCTGAGCAGAGGAAGTGAGCTGTGAATATTTCACATTCTTTCCAACCACAAGAACGAGCTGAGGCACACAGAGCATCCCTCAAGCCTCCAGTGAAGGAAAAGGACACTAAGGAAACAGCATTTTGCACTGACCTCAAGTATAAACCTCTCATTTTGAAGAGACCATAGAGCCCATACAAATGGGTAACAGGTCAGTGTTATGAGTGTTACAGAAGGGTAGTGAAGCCCAGCCCATGTGGAGCTCTGTACTCACAGGCCAGGGTGCCTCTTGAGAATGCTCTGAAGTTTGGTAGATGCTTCCTGGACCAACAGATGTCTCTCCTTTGCCGTTTCTCTGTCAAGATAAATAGAAATTAGGACCTGAGCTTTGACCTTCTGAAAGCAAAGACATTTTCTCTTGTCTTACTAGGATTATTTCCTATACCTTTTCTCATCTGTCACCTGTTCAGTATATTCAGAGTTATTTTTAGTCATGTGTTTTCTATTGTTACTTTTTTCCTAATGTGAGCTTTGGAGTCTGGCAAACTTGAGTTAAATCCCATGTCCCATTACTCACTAGCAGGATTCACTTAACTCAGAGCCTTGGTCTCCTGGACTGTAACATGGGGCTCCTGGGTGGAAGGGAATATTGAAATGCTAAAGTCACAATATCCAACAGATTTTCATAAACACAGTTTTCTTCTTTGCTTCGCCTAGCATGGAATATGGATAAAGCCTTAGAGGCACCTGACTTTTATACACCACAGGAAAGAAGAATGTCACTTTGCCACATATACTCCTCACTTAAGCTCTCTTAGGAGAGACACAGACTTTGTCTTCACATCCCAGAGAGGAACTCAAGGGCTCTTGCAGCTTGAACTGAGCCTGTGTATATCCCCATGTTCACTCACTCCTGTCATTTTTGCTAAACCCTTCATTCTATTACCCTAGAATGACTCATAGATCAGGGATTTGAATCTGGACTTAAGTCTGCCATCTTTGAGTATAATTAAAGGGGTTCAACAAAAATCAAAGCCAAAAAGCCTACTTGTGTTGAACAAACAGAACCTCTGGCTTTCACAAAACACATATTAAAAGACAGAGCGTGGGCTAGACTGTGGTGGCACACACCTCTGATTCCAGTACTCGGGAGGCAGAGACAGGGGATCTCTGTCAGTTCAAGGCCAGCCTGGTCTACAGAGTGAGTTCTAGAGCAGTCAAGGCTACACAGAGAAACCCTGTCTTGAAAAACAAAAAAGCCCAAACACACCCAACCAACTAAACAAGACAAGAGTGTGTGATGAGGGGCTGCTAGCTGTTATCTTTATAAAAACCAAGGCAGTGTCAGCTACACTAGAGGCTGAGGAAAAAGGATCACTTGAGACCAGTTTAAGGTCAGAGTATGGAACCCAGCAAGATCCTGTCTGAAAAATGGGAAATATTTAATGAGACAATCTCCTCCCTACATTTACTTTTCAAAAATTATCAGAGACATGGCAGTATCACTATCTCAGTAAGATGTAACTATTAAAAATCTCTTTTCTGGGGGCTGGAAAGATAGTTCAGTGGCTAAGGGCAGAGAATCCATGTTTGGTTTCCAGTGCTCACACTAGGTGGCTCAAAAGCACTCATTAACTTCAGCTCCAGTGAACCCAACACCCTCTTCTAGACTTGTTGGGCACCTGCATTTATTTATGTGCACACACATAGACACACATATGTAGTTAAAAATATAGTCTTTTTTGTTGGTGTTGAGACAGCCCTGGCTGTCCTAAAGTTCTCTGGATAGACCAGATAGACCTCAAGCTCAAGAGAGCCACCTGCCTCTGCCTCCCAAGTGGTGGGATTAAAGGCCTATGATACCACACCTGACTTAAGACAATATACTCTTTTGTATTCCTGGATGCTTATGGGAATATGTGGTTCTTAAGCCTGCCCAAGAGCCCCACAGCCCAGGTTTACAGTTCAATTGAAGATCTTAGAGTGACATAAATAATCTTAAGTTTCAGACAAACTCCTATTTCTTTAAGTTCTTGGAGGCTACGAAGTGACACGTGTCTGCTGAGCACTGGAATGCTGAGTCATTCAGGCATCCGATGACACAAAATCCTAGTGACTTCCAAATCATTGTCTCAACCTTGAGAGGCTACAGGCATGGCATGGAACAACAGACACGTACCTGTTCTTGACCATGCCCTATGTCTGAGTACACGTGCATTTCTGGAGGCTTCCTTCTGTGATAACGGTAGACGTGGGTTGCCCCCCCTTCCTCTGGCATAGACGAGTAGTATTTCTAGAGAAATAATTTGAAAGAACATTTAAATACTCTAGCAAAATTTTCAGAAAGGCTCTCTGATACGTGTGCACAGTAAGGTTACTGAAGGAAGCATGAGAGAAACAGTAAATTAACTGTCCTTTCCACAGGCCTAAGCCTGAGATGCTAGGACAAGCAAATTGCATTTGGCATGGCTTTGCTGCCACCTGCTGCCTCTGTAGGGCAAGAACTCTGACCAACTAAATAAAGGTAGGCAGGATTATGTTCTCTGCTAGGGTAAAGGTTTTCACATCTTCGATTTATTGTCAAGTACATTCACCCTTTCATTTCCTCCCCTGGCGGAGTCCGATCAACTCAGACAAGGATGAGGGAAGAATGGAGTGATTTCCTTAAGTTGATGAAACACAGAATGCTATAAAACATCAACCTAAAAGCCATGCGGCCTTTGGGCCCAGGGTTCTCCACAGGGGAATGGAAGAAGGGGCACCTCTAGTTTAAGAATAATCCAAAGGATCAGAAAAGCTATGCTTTTCTTGTTTAGTTCCTTCTGCCTCTTCCAAGTTAACCTTAGATTTGCCTTGACTATGAGTAATGAAAGCATGTTTGGAACATGCTTTGACTGTAGGGACAGTGTCAAAGGAATGAGAGGAATGAGAAGCTGGGAAGAGAACTCAGGACATGGACCTATGACATTTTAAGGGCAGTTTTAAAATTGCAGAGCCAAACCCAGAACACTTTTCTAAATCTTCAAAATGCCAAGAAGTCCTGAAGTGCCATTCTGTAATAGGACTGAAGTGGAACATTGCTGAAAACCTACACGAAGAACACCAGTTTGCCAAAGTTCAAAGACAACTATTACTTGACTGAACCATGAACCAAGTGTCTGAGTAGAGCTGTGGTTACACATTGTTCTATAGCCACCTTAGGACAATTAAGAATATGAAAAAATGGTCTCTGGATCTTATCTCCTTGGTTGAAATCCCATTATAATCTAAAGAATGATTGTAAAAGATAGAGGTTGGATATGGCAGTGGATATCTATAATCCCTACACTCAAGAGTGGAAGCAAGGAAATTGAGAGTTCAAGCTATGTTAGTAGCAAGTCTGAGGCCAGCCTGGGCTACTTGAGATCTTATCTCCAACAAAACATAAAGACTAGCAGTTTGGGTGCAGCAGTTTGGGGATCTTCACATCTGGACCCTGAAAGCATAGCAAAACCAATTATTCTCCATCTCACTTATACACCAGTATCCTTAAATCCAGGCCACTCACATGTAAAGCCTGGTGTGATTCCGAGAAAACAGAGCCTGTGTTTTCCTTCAGTGTTGGCCTGTCTGCCTTTAATGTCCATCCCCTCAACCTGGGTATATGGGTTTCAGAACTTGAAATCTGTGTACTCACTTCAATGACTAAATCTTGCATGGTGCTGTGATAATTTGCCATTCATCTCTCAGTGGAAATCAAAGAAGTAAACGATAAAGCTCAGGACTTCAGAAATCTGAACTTTACCATGAGAAGCTAAAGAACACAGTGAGGGAAGTTTCATATCCAGAAGCCTTAGGTGAGGCTTAAGAGAGACCAACTGGATAGCTGAAAGTTACAGACCATGGTTTGATCCTTGGAAAGCAGGTCTTGCCATTAAAAACTGCACACCTGCACCTGTTTCATAAGGCCATCTCTGTCACCAACACCTGTTTAAGAACCCACAGGGATATTCACCACAAACTGGAAACAAACACTGAAGGTTAAGACAACATACAAGCTGGGTGGTTGTGGTGTATACCTTCAATCCCAATCTGGAGAGGCACAGGCAGGCAGATCACTCTGGTCTACAGAGTGAGTTCCAGGACAGCCTGGGCTGTTTCACAGAGAAACCCTATCTCTAAATAAAACAACAACAAAAAGATCTAACATACAGGCTTTCAGCTTTTGATTCAACACATTTTGAAAACAAGACAACTCAGGAGTGATCCTGAAGATTCTAACTTAATTTCAAAGGGAAAAGGAAACATTCTCAACTTAGACTTAATTGCAAAATTCAGGAAATAAACACCATACTCCTCTCCACCAGTGAAAACTCAATTATGGCAAAGCCTTTTTCTGGTTTATTTACTGCTGTATCTTCAACAACTAGAATTAGGATGAATAAATATTTGTTGGACAAATTCTAACTTGTATTTACCACCTGCATTAGATGAATCTGCTCATGAATGTTTGTAGGTCCCAGGATAGAGTCTTCCCCAGCATTGATCAGGAGCACAGTGTGACTTCACACCAACTTACCCCACACTGACTTGAAGTATAGTCCATGAATTCAGCCATTGTTCTGAAGGAAGCACTAAGGGTGGGGCGCCTTTCTTCTCTCTATTTGAATAAATGGCAAGTCATAGGTGAAAGCTATGATTCCCTACTGGAAAGGACATCATTTGAGAAATTGCCTTTTTCACTTTCAGGAAAGCTTCTGCAAGCTGAAATTGGGAAGAAGGATCTTGCCAAGAAAAGAATTCTAACTCTGTAAACTAGTGCAATTCATCCAGTAACTAAAATAGTAGGTTAGCTGCCTTTACTTACTATCAAGTAGCAGGGGGAAAAAAGCTGTTATTGTTGTTTAGAGTTTTTGAGACAGAGTCACAGTTACACTAGGCTGGCCTTGTACCTGATCCTCCTGCCCCGATCTCCTAAGTTCTGGCACCACACTAAGAATTGCATTTACTTACTTTAGATAGGTTCTCACTATGTAATCCTAGCTGGCCTGAAACTTGCTGTGTAGACCAGGATAACCTTGAACTCAGAGATTTGTCTGTTTCTGAGTCCTGGGTGCTAAGATTAAAAGATGTGCACCACCACACTCCGCAAGAAAATTGTATTTAAAAAGTAGCAAACAGAATACTACAATTCTTTTGTTACTCAAAGAATGGGTCACACCATGCAGGTGCACCTCCCTTTAAAACTAGTACTTGAGGCGTAGGCAGGAGTTCAAGGCCAGCTTGGGCTACCTGAGACCCGTGTAAAATAATACAAGGTGTTAAAAGCAGTTTCCAAATAACTTTTCCACTCTTTGTTCAGACACTTTGCATCTTTTGGCCCTGGGAGGTTCCCTCCGGCCCAGTGGAAAGCCGAGAATGACTGAGGAGTCCTCCAGCTCGCGCCCTCACCTCTCCTAGGAGGCGCTGGGGACCGGGGACCGACCATCGTTCCTGATAGGGGCACTGGCGGTAAAGGACCCCCACGCTGCCTTTGGATCGCTCTGGAGAATGCCAGTCCACTGCCCTTCTCTTGGCGCGCTCCAGCACTTCCCTCCCCAGCCGAGCCGAGCGCTGCAGCGAGCGCCGGTCCACCCCGTTCAGCGCCGCGGCCACCAGACAGTACTCCATGTTTCCCTGGGCACACACACAGACGTCGGCGCGTCAGCCGCACCCAGACCCGGATCCGGGAGGAAGCTTCCCCCGCAACCACAGCTCTCCCTCCGCCCGCATCTCGCACTCCAATATGGGGACTGGGAGGCAGGACCCCAGGCCCTTCCTTACACTTCCGCCTCCCGGGGCCTGGGTGCGGCCCCCCACCCGACCGGCTTCTCTAGGCGCATGCGCGCAGCGCTTTCCTGGACACGCCTGTGTTCCCGGGGTGGACCTTTCGCGCCAGTTGCTCGGCTTACTGCTGGTTGCCATGGGCGGGGCCTGGAGGTGGGCGGGGCCAGGCTGGAGGGGCACGTGGTCCCGACTCGAACTAGCTACTGACGCGACTGAGGTGCCTGTTGTTCGAGGTCTTTCCCGCCCCGTCGGATCAGTGTGAATCCCCGGGCTTGTTATGCCAAAACTTTTGTGTGAATAGGTTCTGCAGCTCTTCTTTCGTCCCACTTTTGTGATGATTCTAGCAGAACAACACGACTGAGGAGGTAGGGTTGGGAAAAGGGCGTTCTGTCAGAAGAGCGTTCAAGGCTGGGGGTGGGGGGCCAGGCAGAGGCCTTGGGGCTGTGGGTATGGGGACCCATAGATTTAGGAGATTACTGAGGAGCGTGTGTGTGTGTGTGTGTGTGTGTGTGTGTGTGTGTCTGTGTCTGTGTCTGTGTGTGTGTCTCATTCCCTCCCTGTGTGTGTGTGTGTGTGTGTCTGTCTGTCTGTCTGTCTGTCTGTGTGTCTGTGTGTCTCTGTGTGTGTCATCATTCCCTCCCTGCAGCTTCTTCATTCCTCCCTTGGAAGGATGGATTCATACAATTTTGTGAATTTTGGTGGTTTGTTGTTTTTTTGAGACAGAGAATCACAATGTAGCCTTGGCTGGGCTGGAGACTCACTATGTAGACCAGGGTGGCCCCCCAGTCTCTTCCTCTTGGGATCTGGACCCGCCTTTCAAGCATTAATCACATTTCTTTAAAGTAAGAAATGGGTCATTTACCTTTCATAACTCCACCGACTATGGTGACATCCCCAAGCCTCAGCACTAGTGACCCAGCAGCACCCCCTGGTGCTTTAAGACTACTTTAAGGAACATTTCTCAGTGGGGTGGGTCACTTACAAGGTAGAGTCAGTGGATGGGCTTGACTAGCTGTGAATTCACCTGTTTCAAGTTTATAATTAAGTGAATTTTAATAAAATCTCAGAGTTGTACCAATATCATCACCGTCCAGCTTTGGAATTTTAATTAGCTGAGAATGTAATGTTGGGCCTGAGAGGTGATTTGAGAGGGAGGCTCAGGAGAAACATTTGGCCTACAAGCCTAACTACCTGAGTTTGATTCCTGGAATGTATGTAAAAAGCCAGAAGCTGCAGTGTGCATCTGTTAACCTGGCTCTCCTACAGTGATATGGGTGATGAAGACAGGAAATGTGGCTAGAACTCCTGGATTAGCTTGAACAAGCAAGACCCTGCCTCAAACAAAGGGGAAAGGTGAGAACTCACTCCCAAAAGTTGTCCTCTGACCTCCACACACATTCTTAGCATACCTATGCCACATTCACACACACACACACACACACACACATTAAAAAAATAAAAAGAAAGAAAAAAGTAGTCTAGTATCCACCATTTATAATCAATTCTCACTCCTACTTCTGGACCTAGGTAAACCCTATTCTGATTGCTGCCTTTTTCTGGAAATTCATATAAATAGAATCATATGGTATGTGGCCCTTTTGGGCTGGTCTCTCACTTAGATTACTTTGAGGTTCATCTGAGTTGTATATATCAGTACTTTATCCTTTTTATGGATAAATAATATTCCACTATATGAATATATTGTATTTTGCTTGTTTATTTATCACTTGGAATTATTTCCAGTCTGAGGGCTGTTCTGATAATGCATATAAGATTCTATAGACATTTTCATTTCTCTTGAGCAGATACTTGGAAGTGAAATTTTTGAGGTTATTATAAGTTTATGTTTATAAGAAACTCCCAAAATACTATTCAAAGTAGCTGTACTGTTTTATATTTCCACAACTGATAGTTTTTCCTTATCCACTCTGGCATTTGTTGTTTTCTTAACCTTTTTTTGTTTGTTTGCTTTTTGAGACATTGTTTCTCAGTGTGACATCTCTGGCTGTCCTGGAACTCTTTATAGACCAGGCTGGCCTCTGCTTCCCAAGTGCTGAAATTAAAGGCATGCACCACTACAGCCCACCATTTGTTGTTGTTGTTGGTTTTTTTTTTTTTTACTTACAGTCATACAGTCATTTTACTACTGCTATGAGTGTGAGCAGCAGCTCATTGAGGATTCAGTTAATATTTCCATAATGACTGGTGCTGCTGTCAACCTTTTACTTGTCATTGTCATTTGTAGATGTTCCTGTTTCTTATTTGCTAAAATATCTGTTCAAATCTTTTATTTTTTTAAGATGATTTTATTATGTCATTAGCAAATAGTATGTGGTACATTTCCAAGAATTGGCTTCCTCTGTTTCTACTGTGTTTTGAATGTTCATGTTGAAACTTAATGCTCAACAACATTAAGAGGAACAAGATTGTTGGTGGTTAGGTTGAGAACTTCATCCTCATGGATGGGATCAGTGACTTATAAATCAGCTGGGGGCAACCATTATTTGTTTTTGGTTGTGAGCCTAGTCTTTAACTGCTAAGCCATCTCTCAAGCCCCCTTTATTTGTTTTTTTTAGTATGGTTTGTGTGTCTTTTTTTTTTTAAAATATTGATTAATAAGAGTTCAGATTCTGAGCAAAAGATCCTTTATTGGATGTATAATTTATATTTTCTCACTGTCTATTCTATTTTTCTTTTTTTAAATTTTTTCAGTGCTGGGGATTAAAATACTGAGGGCTATTTGCATACTAATGCTTTACTACTGAGTTATATTTCTAGCCCTTCATTTTATTTGTGTGTGGATGGGGTGTTGTTGCTTTAAAAGTGTGTCCTCAGAGCAAAGTAGCCACCATCTTCATCAGATCAGTTGTGCTTGCTTGCAAGTGACCCTGTATCATGTCTGTGGACTGTTAACATTCCCTAATAGAAGGAAGAGGTGAGGAGGGTCATTGAACCTTTACCCCGGAGTCTCCAACCATGCCTCCCAGTAATATGTATGCAATTATGCCCTAATTGCTTAGGGGCCCAGGACACAGGGAGAGGCTTTAGTATGTAGGTTGTGAAAGAAAAAGGGAAGGGCCTCTCTCTGTGGCTTTGAGGAAGCCGGCATCCAAATTTCTTCCTATGTGACAGCTTGTGAATCACTCAGGATGGTGCCCATCACCCTTCACCTCTCACTCTGTAAGTAAGCCAGAGTGTACTTTGGTGGAATCATATTTTGGTTTATTGTTGGGACCTTATAAAGAGATCCTTCCCATGGAAGGAATTATCACAACAGTGTGTGTGTGTGTGTGTGTGTTGTGTATGTAAAGGTTATGGGCTAATTATAAATGTCCTCCTCAGTTGAGTTTCATCTTAGTTTTTGAGACTAGATCTCTCAGTGAACCTGGAGCTTACCAATTTTGTTAGAATAGTTAGCTAGTGAGCTCCAGAAACCCTCTTGTTTCTACCTCCTCAGTAACAGATAATGAATACACATTGCCATGTCCAGCTTTTATGTGGGTTTCGGGGCATCTGTGTGGTCTCAATTCAGGTTCTTATGTTTTTATGGCAAGCATTGTACCTATTAAGTCTCTCCTTATCTACCTTTAATTTTTTCTTCTTAAAAAAAAGATGCATATTTGCCTGTATGGGTGCATGTGTACAGTGTGTGTGCTGGTGCTAAAAGAGGACATAATATAACCTGGAACTGGAGTTACAGATGGTTGTGAGCTACCATGTGGATGATGGGAACTGAACCCCAGTCTTCTGCCGGACAGCCAGTGCTCTTAATTACTGAGCCATCTCTCCAGCCCCACTTTCATTTTCCTTAAAAGTATTTTTTTTTCTTTTGAGATTTATTTTATGTGCATGTGCCTTTTGCCTGCTTGCATGCATGTGCATCAAAGGCATGAATGTTTCACCTACATGTATGTGTGTACATCTATGGAAGACAGAGGCACCAGATCCCCTGGGAATGGAGTTACTAACAGTTGTGAGCCTCCATGTGGGTTGTGGAAGAGCAGCAAGTGCTCTTAACCATGGAATCATCTCTCCATTCTCTCTCTCATTTCATTTTATTAATGGTGTCTTTTTGAAGCACCAAGTCTTAAATTATGATGAAGTCCAGTTTAGTATTTTCCTCTATGAGTTGTGCTTTTGGTATTATATGTAATTTTTGCCTAATTCAACATTTTTTCTTTTGTCTTCTAAAATTTTAATATCTTATTTAGTCTAATTTGGGTATATGCTATATGAGTTATTAATGGGAGATGTCATTCTGTAAATATGTTTCTCATACTGGTTAATGAATAAAGCACTGTTGGCAAGATAGGCGGGACTAGGAGACAAGGAGGATTCGAGGAAGTAGTAAGGAGGAGTCAACATGGAGAAATTGGAGAGAGCAGAACCTCCGGCCCCCTCCGGTAAGATGAGACCACGTGGAAATACTTAGATTAATAGAAATGGGTTAATAATTATGACAGAGCTAGCCGATAAGAAACTAGTACCTGGCCAACAGCATTATATCAAATACAGAGTCTGTGTGTGTTAATTGGGGCTGGCGCCGCGGTGGGTCCAGACCGGCTGAAAAACATTACTTGTAACAAGGTATAAACTCATCCCTTCAGATACCATTTGTCTAAAAGACTATCCTTTCATTAGATGGCATTTGTACCTTTATCAAAAGACAGTTGAGTATAAGTATACAGAAATTAATTTTTGGTCTTCTAATTCTGTTCCATTGATCTATATGTATGGCATATGCCATGCTCTCTTGATTACTGTAACTTTATGGTAAGTCTAGAAATTGAGAAGTGTAAATATAGAAATAGCATACAAACTATGTTCTGTACTTCCAAAGTTGTTTTGATATTCCAGGTTATTTATATTTCAAAAAATATGTCAAGTTCTGCATAAAGACTTCTGGAATTCTGAAAGGGATTGAGTTGAATCTTTAGGTCAGTTTGGGGAGAACTGCAATCTTAGTAGTATTGGAGGAGTAGGGAGATGGCCCAGTGATTAAGAGGGCTTGCTTCTCTTCCAGAGGATCCCAGCACCCACATTGAGGACCTCACCATTGCCTTCTCTTGGCCTCCACAGTCACCTGCTC